CAAACTTGTTTTATGGGCTCCGAAAGCGACGTTAGACACTCTGCGTCTGCGCTGGCCCTTGATAAGGCTTTGGTGGCTCCGGGCATCCGTCTCCACCTACACCCTTTGCAGATTGGAGGCTCAACAAAGCGCAAGCCTGGCCATGAGGAGGATGAAGATTCGGGTGCCACCAAAAAGCTTCAATTATAGGGCAAAGGCTCCAAATCCAGTTGAGCGCGCAGTGCAATTCGCATGCCATCGGAGCTGATTGGTCAGCGCGCGATCATGGAAAATGGAGCTCTAGTGGTTTTTCCTACAATTTGTCTGGCTGCAATCCGGCCAAAGCTGGGGCAAAATGCGCCAAGGGTTGCATGTCTGCACCACATGTCAGGAGGCGCGCTCTCAGCGTGCAGTGAAGCAATCGCGTGGGGCCCCCTGGCGGGGCGCCTTCAGTCTCACCTACAAACTTTGCCGGCCCACCATTGAATTCAATAGTTGCTGGTGAACTTTGCGCAGGCAATGCTTGGTCGTCTTCATGTCTTTCGGCCAAAGGCCTTCAGACGGTTGCAATTGACCAGCAATAAGCTCGGCAGTTTCCATCCAACCGTAATGTTAGACCTTGCGGACGAAGGAGCTGTGGGCTAGCTTTTTACGCTCCTGAGACAGCCAAGTCATGTTTTCAATTTCATGCAAAACCGCCATGTGGCACAGCTTTGCCCCAACAAAAGAAGAAATTAAGCTGCAAACTACGAACGCGAGGTGTGAAAGTGCATGCATCACTGGGCAGTGCTGCCTTTCCACATGGACTGCCCGGCCTTCAAGGCTCTGAGCTGAAGAGAGTCAAGACAGCTAACTCAATCTACAAACATGTTGCCATGATTCTCCAGCAAGCTTGAGCCATGGGTGCCATTGTGGCCATCGTAAGCCCCAGGCGCTCCTGTTGTGGAGCACCCAACGGATCAAAAGCCTCATTGGTGATTTCTCTTTGGTGTTAGTTTGATTTCAGCAGTGCATGCACGGTGACCGTCGTGACGAAAGACCACCTTGTACACTTATACACCAATGCCTGCGCCTGGTTCCAAGAGCTGCGACGGTCAGCGTGACCATGTTCTGTGGGGAGCAACAAGTGATGGCAACGAACGCAAGCTCACTGCTCTTGATGGCAATGAATACCCACTTCTGTGCTCTCGAATAGCCAGTGCCCTTCATTCCGCAGCCATTTCGCACAAGACGCGCAAAAGAAGCCCTTCACATCCTCGGGCTGCTCATGCCAGCGTGGCCGCTGCTGGTAAGCAACCTCTCGGTAGCAGACATCCTGAGCTTGTGCCTTGGTTGCCTTTGTCTTGTCCAGTCTGATAAAGTCAGGCCAATCGATGACGTGTCAGTCAACTCGGCCTTCTGTGCGCAAAGCAAGTTGGACCTGGACGGCGTCGATGGTATCTCTGCCCTAGCCCGCGCTTTCCTTGCAGCAGTGCGTGATGATGGGGCTGTTTCCACGAGTTGGCCAGTCATGCTTGCCTTTACACCCATCTCTCACACGAAAATTGGCGGGCCGCACACTGGACCTTGAGGCTGCATACAAACAGATGATTGTGAAAGAGCCCTCTGTATGAAGTAGTGTTTTGCTGGTGCCTGATGCTAGCCGCTGAAAGCATTTCTTTGTTTCACGCGTGCTGCCATTTGGGGCAGCCGCGTCGGTTTAAAAGTTTCAACAAATTTCTCGTGCCACCCGCATCAATAGGAACACGCCTTTGCACGCGAATTCTTACGACGATTACCCTCAGCTTGACTTGGAAGATTGCTGAGGCATTCGCAAAACACTGCTGAGAGTGTACTGAGTCTTCTGCGTTGGCGCTACTCTGTTAAAGCCGCAGAAAGACCGGCCTTTGCTGAACTTGGCGTGTCTTTGACTTCACTGACACAGCTTCTGGAAGGAAAGGTCAAGAACAAAGAGTCAAGGGTAGAGCAAGTTTGTGGTGACATTGACCGCATACCTGCCACAAGTCACTTTCCATGGCTGAAGCTAGCGCCCTTAGGGCCGGCTGAATTGCAGAGAGTCAAACCTTTGGTCAGAAAGAGAGTCTGAAACAGTCGAGCATCAGGAAAGTTGCCTGGAACTCAAAAGTTCATGTCTTCGTCAGTCCCTAGAGTGCTTCGGGCAGACATTGCCGACAGCCGCGTCCTGATTTTTACTGACGCATCACTGGAAGAAGGAGATTGAAAGCAGGAGTCGGAATGTTAGCCTTGCTGCTAAAGGACGACCGCGTGGCGGGTAGGGCATTTTTCTCTGAAGAAGTGCAAGCATTGGTATTGCAGAAGCTCCAGCCAAGTCACAAGAAAGTGAGTGCCACCTTGGAGCTTCTGCTGCCGTCATGACAATACAACAACTGACTGATTGGATATGTGAGAAGAGATGCTTCAGCTTCGTAAATAATGAGGCCGCTCGTGCCAGCTGCCAGCTTGATTTCCACGAGTAGCAGTGTGGTGATGCGTTGGAGGCTGTCGTCCAGCCTTTTCGATTTGGCTTCAGGTCGCTCCATGTTTTTGTGGCGCTCGCGCGTGCCTTCGGCCAACGCAGCCAACGAACCATCGAGAACGCGCGTCTCGAACTTAGCAGGTTTCACGCGTTTGCATCCTACTTGGGATCTGGTGAAGTAAAGAAGAGTATGAGAAGCTGAGTTCTGCGCATGTGACACGTGCAGAAGTTGCTACGCAGAAGTTGCAGGCAGATCTTGCTTGGGACATGTCCTGCGTTCGAAGGATGCGTGGCAACCCCAGTTCAAAGAGGCACGTCCGAAGGTGCAGTGCGACTCTTCTCACTCTTCTCACAAAGCATAATACAAGCCATGGCGCATGTATGCAGCCAAAACACCGCGTGTAAGCTGACCCATGTGCAACATCGGGAAAATGTTGAGTAGCAATGTCTATCAAACGAGGGACGACTTTTTTAATGTGTGTGGCCTGCGTGCATGTTTCAGAGAGGGCGTCCTATTTTAGCTTTCAGATCTCAGCTGCTCCATGAGGATGATATCCCTGGTGGACAGTGGGCTGAGCAACTGTTGGCGTGGCTTTGGTCGCCCTGCTGAAGCATGCAAAGCCGGAGAGTTGGAAGCAGGCGCAGGTTTCCCCCACATTTCCGGGCCACTTATTCATTAGACCTAAGAGGTTTGGAGTCATGCGTTTGGAGAACAAGGACTGCGCCAGCACGATCGCCGTGCGTCCGCAACGTGGCCCAGTTCGGAGGGAAACGCATATGTAGATGTGTTGTGTTGGATAAACTTTGAAACGCTGAACTGAACTTGATGGTCTAGTTCTCGCCCTCCTAGCTTAGCTCAAAAAGATGTGTTTCAGAACAAGAAACCCTTTCCAAAGACTATATACTCATGACTCATGACTACTCAGACTGGTCTCACGAGAATGGTCGTCGCGTCTTGTCAGAAAATTTGGATTGCATTGGTGACACGCTCGAACAGCTGGATTTGCTGCTCACTGGTGGGCGATTGCAGCAGTCGCAGTCGATGTTGAAGGGGCGCGCGCTCGTCAAAGACTCCTATGAGCGTCATGGGGCGGACCGGTACAAGGCCCATATCGGGCTCGTCTCGGCAGAGTCAACGGAGCGTGAAAAAACAGGGGAGCAAAACGAATCATGACGAATTGCCAGCGAAACGAGTCATGACAAAGATCCTGCATCAACAATTTTTGCTACGATTTTCAATTTATGCGAGCGCATTCAAGTGGAACTACTACACCTGTGTATGCTTTGAGGAAAGTCCGGAGGTCTGCCATCCTTGTTTGTTACGAACCTGCCTCCCAATGCAAGGATTAGGATTAAAACGTATTCTGGAAGTTGAATGCCGGGCAGCCTTCTCATTGGATAATGTGGAGCTTCAAAACCAATGGTTAGCTGACCATTCTGGTGGCTAATTTTCTTGGTCTGTCGTTGGAGTTTGTCGTAGGTGTGATGTATGGAAGAGGTTGTGGACTTTTCCTCGGATTGGTTTGCAAGTTTATCAGGATACTTGTAGTTCCAGCTGCAGATTCATATGTGTGAAGTACTTTTCAAGTAGATCAGTCTCACTGTACATGACATAATAAACATCACGGAGTGTACGTGGAGCTTACCTGCAGCCCTCTTTTGGTTCAGAAAAGGTTCGCGTGATAGCGGAGCAAGGATAAGGGTCACCCCCAGTGTCCGGAAAGAAAAGACCCTAGGTCATTGGGATCCCGGGTGCGATTTCGGGCCATAGATTTGTGGCCTTTGGAACCCAAGCAGCTGGACTGGTGATAAATTGTTGCGAGCGGCGCTCTATATCCCGTACATTGTGTCAAAGAGACATTAGTAACACAGAAGAGATGGAAGAGATCAAGGAAATCCTGGCCGCAAGAAACAACGTCAGCAGCTGACGCAGTGAAGAAAGCGGTTGAAGACAAGAAGTCATCAACAACAGATGGGTCAACATTGATAGCAAAGCCCAACATCTCTGACTATAAGTCGCAAGAAGAAGAGATCAAGGCATTTAGAGAGTGGTCATGGGTCTTTGAGAAATATTTGAGTGCAGTGGATGAGGTCTACATGAGGGACCTGGAGGAAACTCGTGAGAAGCCAAATGACAAATTTATACAAATTTGACATGGTCTTGGCAACTGATGCAGAGAAGACCAGGTGCATCATGCTCTATGGATTGCTAGCTTCCTTGATGAGAGGCAGGGCGCTGCAATTGGTGAAAGTTTGTTTGAATAAAGCTTTGAAGCCAACTTCAAAGGCAAGAAGCTTAGCGCTTTTGAGAGCAGCCACTACATGGCCAGCGTTTTCAATGAACAGTGCACTACAACCTCAACTCTTGAAGCTTGAAGAAGTGTTTGATGAGACAGTCAAGTCAGGGGCGACAGTTCATCAAGAGTTGAAACCTGCTATTCTTTTGAGATGTGTAGGTGGACAACTCAACCAAAACTGGATTTGACGATCGGCGACAATGCTCAATGCTCAACTTTGAGGGAACGCGTGTTACACTGGGATCGCTCTCAAGAGAAGTGGGCTACTTCCATGGTGGCAAGTAGCAGTACAGACTATCAAGGACCTATGCCCATGGGCCTTGATCGAGTTCAAGATGCCAAAAGAAAAGGTAAGAAGGGCAAGAATGACCATCAAAAGGGCAAAGGTAAAAATGCTAAAGGCAAAGGAAAGACAGGGAAAGGAGATCAGAAAGGGAAGGAAGGCGATCGCAAGGGCAAAGGTAGGGGCAAAGACCAAAAAGGCAAAGGTGTGGCAAGATGTTACACTTCTAGAAAGCCAGGACATCTTGCTAAAGAATGGTGGAGGAACAATATTTGACAGGTAGCAAGTGATCAAGCCCATTCATGTTCAGGAGGAGCATCAGTGACTACTCATGCAGTTGGCCAGCAACATGCCAATGTGAGCCAGCAGAGTAGTTCAGCAGATACCAAACCAGTGGTCAGGAGAATTGAGAACAGTGAGCCAATCAGCTTTGCTTGCGGGGAAGGGATGATGAGCTAGAAGATCATGGAACTCGAGTGACTTCTACATTGGAGGTGATGATGATGAGTCAGAGATCCAGAAAGTTGAGGAGATTGACACCTCAGATGGTGAACCCATGGTGAGGAGACTTGGGGAAGAGAATGAAGATGTGGCAATCGTTATTGGCAGTGCGCCTGATGTGGCATTATTTGCTTTGAGTATGGCAAATCAGGGGAAGGAGACTTGGAATTCAGCACGAAGACCAAACTACAAGATGTCCAGGGGAATCGTATCCCCACCGAGTGTGCGAAAAGTGATGAACTTTCCTTGCGTGACCTTGATGGACGCGAAGTTCTTCTCAAAGAGACTGTGATCTTCAGTTAAAAGGTGAATCAGCCCATACTTTGCTATGGAAGACTGATGGAGCATGGTTGGGACACCAATGGTCGAGAACAGATGTTGCATTGAAGGATTCATTCATGTCGTGCCATTAGGAAGCAAGAGCCAGTTTCTTCTCATTGTGCAAGAGTTGACGAATTTGAGTCAATTCTTGGGGTATTCAGCAATTGCCTACAGGAGTGACAATGAACCCGCAACAAGACAAATCCTCAAGATGTTCAAAGGAAGTTTAGAGAACGAAACTTCCGTGTTACGGACATTCAAGGACTGTGCGTACACCACTCATCAATACACCAGTCATCAATACACCACTCATCATACACCACAGATCACACACCTCTCATCATACACCACTCATCATACACCACTCACCATACACCACTTATCATACACCACTCATCACTACACCACTCATCATACACCACTCATCATACACCACTCATCATCCAGTTAGCTCTAGTTTCTTGAGGCGCAGATTTCATGGCAGGCACAGCGCTTTGTGAACCTCCATGCGCAGATTGCGTGGCAGGCACAGCACTTTGTGAGCCTCCATGTGCAGATTTCGTGGCAGGCGCAGCCCTTTGTGAACCTCCATGTGCAGATTTCGTTGCAGGCGCAGCACTTTGTGAACCTCCATGTGTAGATTTCGTGGCAGGCGCAATACAAAATACGTTTTCGAGAGAGAGAGAGCGGACGCACGAAATGCTGTTGTTTTCAGTAGAAAGGGTGGCTCCGAAGCTGGCCAGTCAAGCTTTGCGGAACGATGTGCGCGAGACCGTCTCGGGTCATTCTCGGATCATGGTCGGATCATGCTCGGAATCGTCCCTCCATTGTGATTAGAGGTTTCAGTGCAGATTTCGTGGCAGGCACAGCGCTTTGTGAACCTCCATGTGCAGATTTCGTGGCAGGCACAGCACTTTGTGAACCTCCATGTGCAGATTTCGTGGCAGGCGCAGCACTTTGCGAACCTCCATGTGCAGATGTCGTGGCAGGCGCAGCGCTTTGTGAACCTCTGCAGGCACAGCGCTTTGTGAACCTCCATCTGCAGATTTCGTGGCAGGCGCAGCGCTTTGTGAACCTCCATGTGCAGATTGCGTGGCAGGCGCAGGACTTTGTGAACCTCCATGTGCAGATTTCGTGGCAGGCATAGCGCCTTGTGAACCTCCATGCTTCTCCGAACCTCGAGGAAGCTCCGCGGAACGACGGTTGGGAGACGGTCTTGGGTCATGTTCGGATCATGGTCGGATCATGCTCGGATCATGGGCGGAATCGTCCCTCCATTGTGGTTAGAGTTTTCAGCTGTTTCTTGAAGTGCAGATGTCGTGGCAGGCACAGCACTTTGTGAACCTCCATGTGCAGATTTCGTGGCAGGCGCAGCACTTTGTGAACCTCCATGTGCACATTTCGTGGCAAGCACAGCACTTTGTGAACCGCCGTGTGCAGATTTCGTGGCAGGCACAGCATCTGTAGAGCTGGAAGCTGAGAACTGGCGACTTTGTAGTACAACATAGTACGCGGAGCAATCTGTCGAGCTGGAAGCTGAGAACTGGCGACTTTGTAGTACAACTTTAGTACGCGGAATCTGGGGAGCTGGAAGATGAGAACTGGCGACTTTTCTAGTACAACTTTAGTACGCGGAGCAATCTGTGGAGCTGGAAGCTGAGAACTGGCGACTTTGTAG